AGAGATGGCCGCCTGAGATCCTTATCGACGATAGTTCGATCGATATGTCACGAGATTTTTAAATAGCTAGACGGGTAAACAAATTGAGACAATTGGTCGACGGCCAACGATCGGTTCTAAGCTTGTGATTAATCGATCAATGTGTAGGAGCACGTATTAAAGATGCACGTGTATGCGTTTATTATTGCGGCAAGTAATAATATGAATCACTTGATATGCTGTGCCGTCGATGAATAGTCAGTTGACTCTAGATAAAAATAATTGCGGCATCTTCGTTTAAAAATAGACCTTGGTTGCATCCAACGAAAATACACGTTCACACTCGATTCAAAATTAACATGGATCGTTGATCGAGATTTTCGAAACTTATCTAGCCGAATAGAACATGGAATAAACAAATAGAAAAATATATTCAGCCGAGATCGAGAGAGAATTGTGATTAGTTGCATGAATTTCAACGTGTTCTAAACGTTCTGCAGAAAACCGTATTATATCGATGACGAGTCACGCTATAATGAGGTTTCAAAGGCTAGCTTTAATCGATAACAAATTTAATGAGCTTAACTGCCGTCGACCCTCGAAGACAGCGGTTATCTAGACGATAAATATTTTCAGTCGCTCGTTAAAAGTGGTTTTGCAATACAAATGAAACGACTGAATCATTTCAACAGAGGCGGGGAGTATCGTTGGCCGCGTTTAACTTGATGGTTAATCCAATTTGAGGTTAAAAACGCGTTTAAAGAACGTTAAAGTAATTGAAATAGTTTAAAACCAGTTATTTAAATAAAAAACACATTGTCGTAGCTTTTAACGAAACTAAAACACGCTAATAATACAAGAATATTTACAACAGTGCATAAATCAATAACGCGAATGACTCACAAGTAGAAAAAGTTTACTGAAATACCTGATCGAAAGCGGCGAATTCGAGCGTCGATAAAGCGAATCGCGGATAAAACGTTGCTTTTTAGCGGTCCTTTAATTTTTTACCGCTCGGTCGATAAAGCGAATCGCGACGCGGTGGCCGTCGAGGTCAGAGTGACTACACCCGTAACGATTTCGTGCTCGAATTCAAGGTTTTCGCGGAAACGAGGCACGGAAGATGCCTAGTAGTCGTTTCGTATGGTCGTCATCCGCTGGTCGTCATTGTCTTTCGTCGTCGTACCAAAGGCAAACGTATGGCAACCTCGTCAACCTCGATACGCCTTCGCCAATGATAAGATAAAGGTTAGCATGTGTATGTTTCTCGTGGAATAGCGAACGTGGGCGTTGTTGCATTTCACTTTGCTCGTATGCACTTCGATCCTTTACGTTTCGTTTCCGATAACGCTTTTTCTTTCTACGCCTTCCCTTTTTCCTCGTGCTCCTCTTCTTCCCTCTTTGCCACCGTGCCGCGGTATCACGAAAGAAAGCGAACGAACGACGAGTGGATCACGCGCGAGAATCGAATCGAAGAATCTCGATGAAACGAGAGAGTTTCGTTCCGCGAGGTTAGCAGGTATACGCAGGTATTTGCGAGTAGGCGCCATCGTGTGACCGCCCACGGAGAAGGTGTATTTCTGTATTCGTACGTGGGCAAACGAGCGATGCGACCAACTGTGACGCTTAACCTACGTATACGTATCGTTGATCAGGGCTGATTTTGTCGCTGAGATACGAGGGGACGCATTTCGCCTCCTCAAATTTTCTCATGCGCCTAGCGTTCAGATTTCAAACTTCAAAATTTTGTGCAACGTCAGAATTTTTATGCACGTATAATTCGCCAGCATTTTGTCTACTCGGTTAGATCTGAAATGTACACACACACACACACACACAAAGGCTAATCTATGCAATGCGAACACTAACACGCTGCAATGGAACCGTACACGCTGGTGCACGTGTGGCGCTCTCCCAGTTAGCGTGTACGTAAATAAACTTAGGTTATAAACTCCGAGCTGCGATTTTAGCAAGTGCCGCTCTTCATTCTGGACAAAAGAACGATCGTGTGCGCGTGTGTGCGTATATTTGTGTGTTCTTATCATTTCACATTATCTGTCATATCATATCTCAGCTAAAGCACCCTGATCTGATATTTCTTTTCTTTCCGACTGTAATAATATGCATCAATTATGAAGACGAACGAATAGCTAATGAATTGAATGAAATAACAAAGCAAGGCCTGATGGAGGCTCGTCTGAAACGTACGTAGCAAACTGATATTGCATACTGGCCGGAAGCCAACTGTACGAAAACTTGAACAGTTTCAACCTCAGACAAGATTCGATCAATCGTCCGAGTAAAATAAGTATCAGAGGCGACTGCCTGTCTCGTGTTTGCCAAGAACCCTTGAACGGTGCTTCTATGCTCTTACAAAGGCAGACAAGGATAACGGAAAGCCGTCTAATGCGCTTTTTGCGAGGAATCGCAACCGCTACGCCCTTTTCTTTCACGCTCGCATTCTCACGTGGCTCTGACTGTACAAGTAAGGTAGGTAAGGGCCACAAGAGTGTAGTATGGCACACAGGATTCAAAGGTGAGGTGTCGTAAGTCGTGGCGGTGGTAAATAGAAGTGCTTCGTCTCGCTTACTCTTACTCTCAATACTCTGACTCTATCCTTCGATTGTCGTGTGGTCGCACACTCAGCGCGCGCGCTCCCGCGTGCACACGAATACGTGAAAAGAGAGCAAGGAAAGCGAAGGCTACGAACGCAAGGCAAACGAACATGGGGGAGAAAGAGAGAAAGAGAATGGTCGACGTACATCATTTGGGCGCCGAGAAGTCTGGCGCGACCAGGCCAAGCCAGGCCAGGCCAGGCCAGAGGCGCGTCTCTGGTTACGCGACCATTTGGGGCGCCAAGCAGGGAACGCCAAGGTGCGGAGTGGAGCGGGCGGAATGGCAGATAGGAGGGAAAAACCATAGGAGGGCAAAGAGTGAGAGAGAGAAGGAAGAGGGCCCGAGAGGGGCCAGTGGAGACGAAGGTAGGCGTCCGAGCATCGTCGCCGAGCTCTGAACCGGGGAATCGCGTAGGGTGGCGTACAGTGAAAAGAGAAGAGAAAGAGAGAGAGAGAGAGAGAGAGAGAGAGAGAGTGAGCGAGCGAGTGGAAGAAGGGTGAGGGGTGGGGGGATGAACGAAGGGGCCCCTGCAAGCTACATTCCAGCGGGACGCGAGTTTTCAAACATGGCTACCCGCGTGAATGTAGGTCCACGACCGATCCTATAACACGCACACAATCAGTCCCTACGAATACGATGAGATTTCGCCGTCCTTCTTTCTCTCCTCTATTCTCTGTTCGTTCTTCTCCGTTTCCCCCGTGGTAATCTGCTGGAGCACGATTCCCTCCAATAGTGTGCTCCTTCCTCCTAATGCTTGCTCCGTCACACGCTTATACAGACACTAACCCAGAGAATCCCCCTTGCCCCTTTACACCATCGGGTTGTTCGATGCTCTCCTCTCCCCTCGCAGCAACCCGGACGGCCCGGCCGACCGAGCTGGCGACACCCTGTCTGGCAAGACCGGCCGGCGGACAAAGGAGGGGGAGCCTGGCCGCTGCGTTGCCACGTCCTCGGACTTCGGGCTGCGCCTACCTTCGGCCCCAAGGACAAATCCGACGAACGTGCCAGCCGTCGTGGCGTACTTAGGCGACTGCCGGTCTGCTACCGCCGCGCCGCTTTCCACACGATATGCCTCTTACCGATATTATTTCACGATCGCTCTTCTTGCTCTAGCTTCTGTTGAACAATCGCGGATAAACACGATTGCGATAATAATTGAACGTCGTCGAAGACGTTTAAAAGATATCCTATTCCCTCCTGTAGAGTGGCTGGTTCGATAAAACGAAAGGAAATGAAATGTGATTCTTTCGACGATAGGCAGAAAATACCAAAAGGATGAGACACGCTTATAGAACTATGCGAAGGTCAGATTATCTCGAAGCAGCAGCGCAGGTATCTCTCGTCAAGGTGTTGCTGGTCGTGAGATGTGTTTAGGAGGGGTTTAGAGTCAGTATGATCGACGGAGCAAGAATAACCAGCGAGATTCTGAGAAATGCAGCAGGGTGCTCCTTCGTGGAACCGCAGGAGGATCGGTCGGTTTCTGCTGGTGGCGCGAATCGTGGAAATTTACGAGGCCTCGCTCGTTTCTTTCTACGCGACCTGTCTCGCTCCCTCTCGCTTCGCCAAAGTATATACTAACACGCGGCTTGCGTCATTGCTCGCAGGTCTCTCCGCTGCGGCCTACGTGCGGCCCAACGACATGGCAACCACGCCGTAAAGCTAAACATATTAACTGTCGGCTCACGCCACAAAAACAACATGATCTCATTCCGCAACGTATATGCGTGGAACGTGCGATTCAGATGCATGCACGCCTTCGAAATCTCATTCAGCGATAACCAGAGGTGGATCGGAACGACCTGCGAAACGAAAATAAGAATGCTAGGAGAAGGTAGTATAAAACTAACAACCGACCGGCAATGACTCCTAACGGTAAGCCGATAGAATGTTGGCAATAACCAGTAAAGAACAATACAGATCGCATTACCCGGCCGGGCTATAATAGGGACAACTTCAACCCTAACGAGACTACCACTACCAGCTAAAACTGACACGGCCATGGGCGTTTTTCCTGGAAGGCGAAATCCCCTTTCCTCGCCGGCCTTTCCCCTTGTTCGATGCCAATAAAACTTCCTAGACGACGGTCGCCGTTGGTTGGCGCTCGGTACGGCGAGCTTTCAAGAATCGTACCGTATGCGAAGCCTGACGTAGCTCCTCAACGATTTAACCTAGATAACACGCCTAATCTCAGCCGCGCGAGAAAACATCGTAACTCGAGTCGCATGTCTGCTATTCTTTTCGCCGCGTATTCTCTCGATTGTTTTCGATACGATCGAAATTTTGCGTGGCATATGCGAGTGTAGCAGCGTAAGTGCCAAGAAAGCGAGAAAAGGCACGGTAGTGTGGAGTAGCGAGGAGAAAGGCGAGCAAAAATCGCGGCTCCATGCTGGCTAGCACGGCTCGCGAGGCCTGGTAAGCAGCGGGTGAGCGAGCGAGCGAGCAAGCGAACGAACGAACAAACGAGCGAACGGGCCGGCAGGCAGGCAGGCAGGCAGTCAGTCAGTCAGTCAGACGAG